CCTGTTGCCACTGTGGTCTCTTATCAGACAGACAGTTATAGAAAGAAAGAAACTAAGGTAGGGTACATTAATTTGCAAGATGTAATCCAACCAGTAAATCAATTTTTACTCATGTAATATCTATTTGGTTTATACATTCATAGCTTTAACCAAGGCCTTAACACCCTCAAAGGTCTCAATCCCTGTGGGGATGATCTGATTCTCTGGGAGCAAGAAGCCATAGCGACCAGTATCACGGAGCTCAACAGAGAACGAATACTGGACTCCAAGAACACCATAGACCCAGTCTTCAGAACCCCCAGCAGCAGCATCTGATAGAAATAAGAATCAATAAGCTCGACGTTCTTGCWAGGTACAGCAAACCTCAGGCGTCATAACGAAGTATATCACGTGCCACGCAGCCTTGTTGGCTACAAAAGTTTACGTACAAAAGACCCTGAATTTGGCACAGGAGATATAGCTTTTCTGGTTCTAAGCCAAAGGTAAAAAAAATTGCCCTAAAAGAATGACTCAATATTCTTAGAAATCGTGTCTTTTTAGATTTTTGAATTCCCCCCCCCCCCTATTTTGGCGGGAAAATGATGTCATCAGCGTGTGAACAATTAAACTTTACACTACGAACAATTTGGTGAATGAATTTGAACGATCTTGATGCAAAGCTCAAAAACATAATCCTAATAAAATTGTATGCGTTGGTTCAAAAGTTATTTTTTAAATATTCAAACATCCACCTTTTGTTTCTAAAAATAGTAACAAAATGGCTGAATAACACGTATTTAAAAGTTCATTATTGATTACACTAATAACCGGAAACACTTGAACAAAATTTAAGTAGAAAAACCTTTTGCCAATCAGGCAATTACGAAATCAGGGTCGTTTTAGCCCCAGCCCTTCTTCTTCTTTTCATGATGTCATGGCTAGATGCCACATAGCGCCCTCAGCCAATCACAATCTCTCATTCCCTTCGGTGCTGATAACTAAGTTTTTTCTTGGACATATAGTCTTCTTTTACTTACGGTTTTCGATATATATTCTGCGAACGATTAACTCAGACATTTCAACGGCTTGTTGTGAAATTGCTATTTACTCCCGTCAGTTAAGAACATAAAGCCCCGTTTACACTAGCGATTTTTGCTGCGATTTTTGCGGCGATTTTGTCCATAATAAATAATGGTAAAGAATTTACTTGTAAAGTTTTTTTCAGAATACCAAGGTTTTCCTAGACGAATGTTTCTTTTGAACGCTGAGCCAAAAGATTTCATATTTCCGATAATTGCCACAAAAATCGCAGCAAAAATCGCCAGTGTAAACGGGGCTTAAAAAGTGATTGACGGCAGCGAAAAGCAAAATTTCATCGTGCAGCTTGTAACTACCGAATTCGCAGTTAGCTTTGGTTAGTTTTTTTCAAGTGGGCCGAGTTAGTCTGTCCGCTAAGTAAAACACTTACAGAGTAACGCTGCTGATGAACCATGGCGGTACGATGTGTAATACCCTGCATTACGGATGGCYTTTGATGCTATTCCAGCTACTCGAAACTAAAAACAATAATATCAATTATWGGATTTACTAATTCATAAACAAGAAAATACTTTTCGTCTTGAGAATGCAGTTATGATGACTCCGAACAAGAGAATATTCTCTTGCTCTAAAACATCGAACTTTACTAGTTTCAATTAAAAAAATGGAATCGAAATGGCACTCAGTTATAATTTATTCATATGGCATCTTTCAGGATGAAATATTTTTAGGCCASGTCCATTACAATACTTCGGTTACTTTTCTCGATCTCAAGTGTATTTTTGAAATATCAGACGTTTTAACGTCTTAAGAGCATATATACCCTTAGATGGGCTCAACCCAGTTACTAACCATGCTGTTTGCTAGCCATAAGATCACTTAAATATTTTGATACTAATAAAAATTATTTCAACTCCAAAACCATCCCAGATTCTATTAAATGCTAGATTCTCTTTTCTTTTGTTTCCTTGGGTTCTGTGTATCTTCGGGGAATCTAGGATATTCTATGAGAAGGACCACTCCCCATTATCCTCAACAACCTACCCATCCTTGCCCTTTCCCTTAAAAGGTGTCAATGAAACGACCAGCACTATACCTACCTGTTCATAATGATGTCGTGTGTTCCTAGATGTATAGCCCCATGGAATAAACCACATCTGACTGTAAGCATGCATGTCGATGAAACCTTTAAGTCTGCTTCCAAGACCTYGAAGGTAGTTGGCCACATTCCTGGTTTCAATTTCAGAGAATGGCTGAGAACCTCGATACGTACTGTCACACGGGCGAGGACTTGCTCCCGAACCTACGGTTGTATACGTAGAGTTTATTTTTATTACTGCATTTCAAAATACTAAATGGTGCCATTATTTCATATTCTCACTTTCGATATTTTTGTTGAATGGTTTCAAGGCCAATGTGGACCGAATCAATGCTCCGTGGTAGGGGCGAAGCGAGGTTTTCCGTTTTCGCGCCAAAACACACGCGTGCGCGTTACATATTTAGAGTTTCCCGCCATAACCACAGCTTCGTAAAACTTTTCGGGGGACGGTCCATCCCCTGCATTTCCGAATTCTACGAACATGCTCGCTCAGATTCGGCCATCAGCACACAATTTTTTTTTTTTTCGAAAATCTTAAATGAGTCGAAAATATTTGAGTCATTTTAGATTTTCTAAAAAAAAACATGCTTTGGCGGCCAACGCTGAGCCATCGTGTTCGTAGACTAATTTGCATAAACTCTAAATGATTGACGGCTCTTAAAAGACCAAAATCCAAACAGGGTTTTGAAACGGCTGGTCGCGATACAAGGATTGTTGCTGTAAACGTCATTGTTTTCCTGAGGCCAAGATTTCAATCTTTTGTGTAACAAACGGCTATTTTAGRCCAACTCTTACCACCCCATTTGTGTCCCCAGTTTCTGTTCAAATCGGTTCCAATGCATCCTCCACTTGGCCTTCGGTTCTTTCTCCACATACGGTATTGACGAGATTTCTAAATAGGATTACGGAAAAGACTGTTACCGCAAAGTCCTCGTTACAGTTAAGACAGATTACTCAGGAAAGTAATTGACCTCCATGGCCCTGGATTACTAAACCGCAATGCTATTGTTTTTCTTTCTTTCTTTCTTTCTTTCTTTCTTTCTCTCTTTCTTTCTTTTTTTCTTTCTTTTTTTCTTTCTTTCTTCTATAATATATTTGGTAAAGGCTTAGCGAGATCACAATGGTGTCTCTCCGTGTACTCACTCCTTTCCAAGTGTACGCGTATCCATCCACGTTAAGTACGGGTAATACAATAAAGTCCATCTTGTCAAGAAGGGCCGTTACACTGCGGTCTCGACCATATTTGTTCACCATCTATTAATAGAAAGTAATSGGAYCAWTCAACAACTCCTCTTTATRAAAKAACTGTTATAAATGTYGCGTTCTGATTGGTTGATAGCGCGTGCTTCATGAGAGCACAAAGCACGCGCTCGCACTTTCAGTTGCGGCATTCCCATCCAAAATAACGGTTGCTGGAATTTGTATTTTATAAAAGAAATWAAAMAWYTGCTTGCTGTGCKGYGTGGAGTTATAAAGCACTTGGAGATTGATAGAACACTCGAGAAGTGTCGAGAAGCGCGACAAAGTTAACCAATCCCAATGCTCACTAAACAAAAAGCATTCAAATTTAAGCCAATCAGCAATCAAGCAACGAAGCCAAGATCTGTTTATATCTGGCGAGGAAAATTGAAACTGATCCTTCGGATTGGTTCCAGTTCACTCTACATCGTGATTGGTTATTTAGTATTTTTATATATTTGGCAAAAATAATTCAACAACAGCCATCCATTGGTTCTAGCACTCACGCTTCCTCTCACTCTGCGTCGTGTGAGCTGGTAGAAATAGACACTTTTCGAGTTCCAAATWACCGCTGTGTTTCTTGATTACAGACTCATTTACTCAGGCTTWGCCTCGAATCAGTGTCTAATTACTCGCAAATACCAACGGTAAAGTAAAGAACAATACAAACACTYTGAAACTTGACGGAYCTTGACTGGAACACGTGAATATTCTTCACAAAATCKAGGTTAAGCCYRAGTAAATGAGTCTGTAATCAAGAAACACAGCGGTAATTTGGAACTCGAAAAGGGTCTATTGATCCAATCTTGTTACATACCTGTTCAATGCTGTACATACAGGTTGCAGGGGAGATCCACTCTCTCGCGTGTATACCACATTCCCAAAAGAAGACAGGTTTGTTCCATYTTTTTGCTCCTTTAATCTAAAGATRCGAACGTCATATCAAAGCTTTGCCTTTATTACTTTAAGACTACGAGAGTACCGTCAAGTAAAAGCTGATTTTAGTGACGTCAATAGTCCCCTTCACTGTTCCCTGCGCCATCTTGAMAGGTAGCCGTGCCTTTGCGTCGAAGYGAGACGAACGGTGAGCWTGYAAYGATAGAGACCTTTTTTAACACCTTKGRCAATTATTCAYATGTCTCTATCATTGCWAGCTCACCGTTCGTCTCGCTACRATGCAAAGGCACGGCTACCTTTCAAGATGGCRCAGGGAACTGTGAAGGGGACTATTAAAAACGTTAAGCTCCTTTTCGAATTCTCTAATTTCCTAAGAAGCATTATTTTTCATGGTGAAAAAATCCTCTAAATAACGAGGGTAAAGACATTTAAAGATTTGCACAATAACATGGCAGCTTTTTGTTTAATACTTTTGATAAATACTTTGTCAAAACCAAGTCTTTTGAGCAACARTTCTGAGCTAATGTCATAGCCAGGGCAAGTACCAACACTGGCTGCGCGATTTTGTACTTTTTTTATCGGCAATAATTAACAGTGCCATCTAGAAATAGCTCGAGAGCCATGCATAACTCATTATTTATCTACTAACAGAAAAATTTTSAACATTCAATTGGCGGCAAAGAGCAGGGAGACGTATTTTCCAAATTATTTTCAGTTTATATTATCTTACCTCGATAGCCTTCATTGATTTTCTCTCGTAGGAATTTCCGAGACTAAAGACACGTGTTATCGATGGTCTTGTGTTGGCAATTTGTTGAAGCTTGTTATGGATCTAAAAAACGACGGTTCACAACATGGTTCATTAAAAAAAATGGTCACACACTTGTGGTTACACTAATCCACTTTATTCCGATAACTAAAACGTTCGTGGCATACTAGCCCGTCTCTTCTTACGAGGCGCTCTAACAACACAACATTAGCATACGTTATCTCAGCATACATTATAAAGCCCGCGAAAATTACAAAGGAGACAAGACAAAACTTTTGGGATATTTTTAAAAAACATGGAGGGAAAGACTGAAGGCCGACGTACAGACAAACAAAAATACAAGCAGACCAAGAAACAGGCAAACAGACCAACAGACCAGCAGACCAGCAGACCAGCAGACCAGCAGACCAGCAGACCAGCAGACCAGCAGACCAGCA